GCAAGTCAGAATGCCTCTACTTTCTTACCAGTATGTATTTGGCTATGAATGAGCGGTATGTATTTTGGTGTCTTATTCCTGGTGAAACTCACGGATCCTTAAAAATTTGAATAAATTTGTGTTCTCTTAAGTTATTCGTGCTAGTAAGTCACTAATTATCACTTTGGGATTTGAGTGAACTTTGTTTCTGGTTTCAGTTATGCAAGTCATTATGGGATGAGTTCATATATTTTCCTAAATCTCTCGGTACTTAAGTATCTTGGAGTGCCAATATCTCCAAGAAGACTATCACTGATGGATTGTGAAGGGTTAGTGGAGAAGGTGTTGAGCAGATCTCATGTTTGTTCTCTCAGTTGTTTTGATAAGGCGAAATGGCTTCCTGGCCACTTAAACTTGCATCGGTTTGTAAAGCCGATATATGAACTCCTGAGTTTCCCATTTGAACACATTTACTTGAAAAAATGGCTACTAATAAACACTTGTGATGGTGCGTGTTGTTCAATTGATGCTGACATGGATTTAATTTAATATTTTATATAGCCACATCATCCATTCATTCACATTTTGTTGACACATGTATCTTCAAGGTCCCAATTTGTGGGCCCTGTCCTTTTCCAAAATTAATTTATAAAATTTCTATTTCTTCTTCTCTTCCCCTTCTTTTATTCTTCATCCGCCTCCTGCATCTCATCTTCCTCAATGCCACTGCACATCTTCATAGCACCAAAACCATCGGCTCCCAGCACAACATCATCCTCTTCTTCATCGTCAAGCTAACTCTCTTCATCTTCTTCTTCGTCTTCATTCTCCTCAAATCCAACTGCTACACCAACATCATAATCAAGAGCTTCATCGCCATCATCGCGACCATCTAATTGGTAGCTAGTGATGAATCGCCCAATCGACACAAACTTATTAAACACCTGCTCCGAAATAGCGTTTAAAAGCTTTTCAATTTCCAATTTCTTTTAAGGGTTCTTAAAGTTGCCATCTTTTAACACATCCAATATCTAATCAGCAACCCTACTCACAATACTAAAGGGTTGTCCACCAATTTGCTGCGGTATAAGGCTGAGCATGGCTTCATAAGCAGCCATAGTTTCCATAGTTTTAGGCTGGTAAAATCCACCTTCCTCATCAATTGAATTAAGAACACTTTTTTCCTGAAGAAGTCGTCGTCTTTTGGGCTCAGAGGCAAGTGTGTCCCATTGCCGCTCCGATAATGGAGACTGTAAACATAAGCTCCGATTTTACTTCCCATGGTTATTGGAGTTTGTGTTGATATCTTGGAAGGAGCTATGCGAGTGCGGGGGTGTGCTAAGGTTCTGAGCTTTTTCCTTTGTTTGGGTTGTGTTCTATGTTTTGCTAGAAATAGCTATGGTAGAATAGAAGGGGAGGGGGAAAGGGGGGGGGGTTGGAGTTTGGTAGGGAGACAGGGGAAATTAGAAGGGAAAGGGAAAGTTCTCTTTTTTCTTTTTCTTTTTCTTTTTTAATAAAAATAATAACTATCCACGCGTCTTTGTAGGGGTGATATGCACACAATTTAGCCATGTCAGCTGCGCCGCTTCCACGTAGGCATAGTCAACGGTCAAATGTGTTTATTAGTATTTATTGCATCAAGTTGGAGTGTTCAAATTGGAAAAGTGTAAGTTCATGTATCGGCTTTTAAAAGTCTTACAAGTTTAAGTGGCCAGGAAGCCATTTCGCCTTTTGATAAATCGAGAGAGAAGCGAGGGTTTGGGAAGAAAAGAAATGAAAGAAAGGGTAAAAATGTCTTTTTATATTAATTTTAATAGAGTAGTAGCTATTTTTGTTCAACGTTAGAATGGCTACCCCACCCCATTTTTACATCCATCCACGTGAGTTCGAATCCGTCGAGTATAAAAGTGCCCAACTACCCGCCCTTTTCCTTTTGAACACTATGTCTCACATTTCCAACCACTACTGCTCTCTGCTCAAACTTTGGTGTGAAACGCAGAACCAAAACCAAATCAAGAAGCTCCATTGCTTCATTCTCAAAACCATAGCAAACCCAGAAACCTTTTTGCTAAACAATCTCATAAACACGTATAGTAAACTCAACAACAAAGAGTATGCACACAAAGTGTTTGAACAAATTCCCCAACCAAACCAGTTCTCATGGAACACCGTTCTTTCTGTTTATTCCAAGTCCGGAAACCTGCTACGAATGCGGGAGGTGTTTAATCTGATGCCAAAACAAGATGGGGTGTCTTGGAATTTGATTATTTCGGGGTATGCATCTCAGGGTTTGTGTATTGATGCGTTGAAGGCTTATAAGTTGATGTTAGAAGATGGAAGAATGAGTTTGAATAGAATAACATTTTCGACAGTGATTATATTGTCTTCGGACAATGGTTGGATTCGGATGGGTAGGCAAATTCATGGGCAGATAGTGAAATATGGATTCAAGGAGTATGTTTTCGTGGGTAGTCCTTTGGTCGATATGTATGCTAAAGCAGGGTTCATTTATGAGGCTGAAAAGGTTTTCCATGAGTTGCCGGAGAGAAATGTGGTGATGTATAATACGATGATTATGGGTTTTTTGAGGTGTGGGATGGTGAGAGAGTCGAGAAGTTTGTTTCAGGATATGCCTGAAAGGGATTCGATTTCTTGGACAACGATGATAACGGGTTTAACACAGAATGGTCTTGATAGGGAAGCACTTGTATTGTTTAGGAAAATGAGGTTAGAGGGGTTGGGTATCGACCAGTTCACGTTTGGGAGCATTTTGACTGCTTGTGGAGGCGCTCAGGCTGTTGAAGAAGGAAAACAGATCCATGCTTATATAGTCAGAACCTCTCACAGTGATAATGTGTTTGTAGGTAGTGCCCTTGTTGACATGTATTCAAAGTGTAGAAACATCAAGTATGCCGAGACCACTTTTAGTAGAATGTTGAACAAAAATATTGTCTCTTGGACTGCAATGGTCGTTGGATATGGACAGAATGGTTATAGCGAAGAAGCTGTTAAGGCTTTCTGTGATATGCAAAGAAATGGGGTTGAGCCAGATGATTTTACTTTAGGAAGTGTGATAAGCTCATGTGCAAATCTGGCGAGCTTGGAAGAAGGTGCCCAGTTTCATGGACGAGCATTAATCTCAGGCTTGATATCTTTCATTACTGTTTCTAATGCACTTGTGACCCTCTATGGTAAGTGTGGAAGCATAGAAGATTCTCACCGGCTTTTCGATGAGATGTATGTTAAGGACGAGGTCTCTTGGACAGCATTAGTGTCAGGATATGCGCAGTTTGGAAAAGCGACTGAAACAATTGATTTATTTGAGAAAATGCTGGTACATGGTTTTCAACCAGATGGAGTAACTTTTGTTGGGGTTCTTTCAGCTTGCAGTAGGGCAGGACTTGTGGATGAAGGGAAAGTCTATTTTGAATCGATGGTGAAAGAACGTGGAATTACGCCAATTCTTGATCATTATACTTGCATGATTGATCTATTCAGCCGAGCTGGGCGTTTAGTTGAAGCAAAAGATTTTATAGAGAAGATGCCTTGCACGCCAGATGCAATTGGTTGGGCTACACTGTTGAGCTCATGTAGAACCCGTGGTAACATGGAAATTGGCAAATGGGCAGCAGAGTCCCTTTTACAACTTGAGCCAGAAAATCCTGCCAGCTATGTCTTACTCACAAGCATGTATGCTGTGAAAGGAAATTGGGCTGAAGTGGCTCGTTTAAGAAGGGCCATGAGAGATAGAGGTGTGAGGAAGGAGCCAGGATGTAGTTGGATCAAATATAAAAACAGAGTGCACATTTTCTCTGCTGATGACAAGTCAAGTCCATTTTCAAATCAAATATATGCAGAACTGGAGAAATTGAATTCTAAAATGATAGACGAGGGTTATGTACCAGATGTAACTCATGTCATGCATAATGTTGAAGAGTCCGATAAAATTAAATTGCTTAACCACCACAGCGAGAGGCTTGCTATTGCCTTTGGTTTGATCTTTATCCCCCCTGGGCTCCCAATAAGAGTGGTTAAAAACCTAAGGGTATGTGGTGATTGCCATAGTGCAACTAAAATCATTTCTAAGATCACCCAGAGAGAAATTCTTGTAAGAGATGCAGTTAGATTTCATTTATTTAAGGATGGAAAATGTTCTTGTGGAGATTTCTGGTGATAATTTGCCCATAATTTCAGATCAGTAACGAGGTCCACTTATCCTCTTTTCAATCTCTTACTCTCTCGTGCGATTAATTTTCAAGCCATAGCGAACAAGTAAAGGAGTGACAGAATGAAGTCGCTAAAGGCAGGAATCCATCCTTCCATTTGATCAAAGGGAACTGTTACATGCATCATGCTGGTTCCTGTGTTTGCACGTTATATGAGAGACGAATAGTCTCACTGATTCTTTTAAAAGTATACATTTGCTTCCCATGAGAGGACTTGGCTATGTCTGCTATATATTGGCTCAAATTACAGAAGACTGCGGAGCCATTCTCAGAAGCACCACGACTCAGAGCTCATCAATTTCCATATTGAGTAGCATGCAAGCGTGAAACATGGAGTATCTGATTTATGAGGCTACCAATCCTCTTGACAACGTAAGGTAACCATAACATAGCTGATTATGTTGACAAATTACAGCCCTTTAGACATTGCCATTGTTATCTAATTCTGTTAGTTTTGGGACAAAAATATAGTTCTGTTGGTAACTTTTGATTCATAAACACATCAATATGAGAAAGCTTTAACTTGCAGCTATTGGCTTTTGGATTGGAGAAGCAGATGATTTTTATTTATCTCGTAAAAGGGAGTCAGTCTTCTGCTCTTCGGATGAAAAGCTACTGATTTTTGGGAATTTTCTTTATTTGCCTTTCATATTGTTATATGAGATGATTTACAATCTTTGTCCTAAGTGTTCATAAGTTACCAATGCATATCTGATGTACTAGTTGAGTACAATCTACATATTGGCACTTCTGCCTTATCTGATTCAAAAGAAATAGATACATTGCCAGTCTGACTAGATTCTAACACCAATACGATTTCAGTATCATCAAGGAATTTACTGTGGGTAGTTATACATACAACAAAAAAGCTGTGATAATGAAACATAAAATTTAAAGTTTGAAAGAGATATAGCTTCTTTCAGCTTGAGATTCAAACAAGGGCTTATTCCATAGAAGCAATAACCATATCTAATCCCGTTGTTGTAATGATGGGAGCAACTCTGACTGACTTTCCGGTGGATTCTAGAATATTTGAAGAAAAATCTCATTAGACTAAAATTTAGGGGTATGCTATAATGAGATTATTAGAGAAGCTAGAAAACTTTACCTGCAAGCGGTGACAAATCTCAAAAACTTCAGCAAGGGGTGCCCAGTCTCCAAAATTCCTCTCAATAAATTGATAAGCAACTCCACTCTTTCCTTTGCCGACAATGAAAAGTCCTCCTTTTATCTCACCTTCACCCCTGAAGTTCTGCTCCACCCCCATGGCTTTCGCTCTCTTATAATTTGCAATAGCTCGAGGATTAAATAGAAAGCCTGATATGAACCTGTCTTTTAGCAGATTTCCTCCTCCCAGAGCTTTATAAAATGCCATGCTTTTGTCAAAGAGGACTACGCCACCCCAGTATCGTGGCCAGAAATCCTTTAACTGGATTACAAAACCCAGCATAATGAACCAGGTCCTTCCAAAGAAATATCAGCAAAAAAGTAGTAAAAAGTTACCTCTGATTCTATTTGCTCATGAAGAACAGCAAATAATTGAACCCCCAATGCGTCAAATATTGGTTTCTTTGCATAAAGTTGGTGGGCTTCAGCTCTGCACATAATGCACCTGTTTCCATCATCTTTTTGGGATTAGATTCAGTAATTCATGCTCATCGAAAAAGATTTAATTTCGTCTTCTTATAAAATATAAATACCATTTGTTCTAAAGGGGAAAAACATTCCTAGGTTATGTCCTTCATCAATGTATCCAGAGTCTAGTGGGATCACATGCATTGTTGGATCTTCTATTGTGATTGAAGTTTTATGCAGGTATTGACTTGAGTTTCCTTGTGAAATTCTTGCAAAAGGTTTCTTTATTTCTGTTTAACCTAGTATCTGTAATATCCTATAAGAGGCAGTGTCTGAGACATTGCATATACAGCGTCTGAGACATAGCGTATACTTTGAACTACAATTAACAAATTATAGGTGTTAATTGCAGAAACGATTTGATGCTTTACCCAGGGCGGCGAATGCATAGAATCACTGCTGGTTTATCACGCCAGAGCTCTGAAGCCTTCAGTGGTGGAGTCTTTGTTTTCACCGAACGCTCCATTCCAATCTTGTACTCTGGCGTTAGTTTCTGAACTGGGATATTCTCAATGGTAGAATAAGGAGCAACATTCTCAACTACTGGGGTGGCCTGCACACAGCCGCATGCTCTAGGCTCATCTGGCATTGAAGCTACAATTCCCTTAAAAACATGTCCATCTTTAATTTTGAAATCAGCCAATGATTGTTCAAGGGATACATCATTAGCTGTATTGGTTCTCCTAAGGGATCTTGTCATACTCTGCTTCCTGGAGTTGACAGCAGAAATCTCTCTCCTGTAAAGACTCTCATTCCTTGAGGCACTTCTTCTCATCACTTGGAGATCGTTGGCTTCTGGCAAAGAATCTTCCCCGCGAGCTGTAGTTCTGTCTGTAAAACGGGCAACATGGCCCCTTTTCATTCCATACTTTGCAGTAAGATCTACTGTGCTCAAGTTAAGAAGCTCAGAAAGGGAATTCCCGGACTCCTCAAGCTTATCTGCATATTGCATCAGTGCATGGTCATGCAGGTATGACCTTATTTCCAGTGCATCCTTGAGTAGGAAAGAAATAAATCATCAGAACAATATCTTATTTTGTTTCTGTAACTTTTCAGATGTGTAGAAAACCAGCTTGACAAATTCCTTTCCAAAGTTTATTTTGCGCAAAAATATATAAATGGAATGGAGTAGTTTAGGATTTTTAATTAAGCACAAAGAAGTGTTAAATGATCTCTTATTTCTTTTGTTGGAACTTTATTTTTGTGATACGTTATCTTGTCTAGGGAAACACAAGAATTACTTAGTTGTTTACAAAGATTGGCAAAAGAATATGAAGAACCCCAGATGATTTTCTTGAGGTATATACAAGAAGGGTGAATTATCAGTAAAGAGAACCTTTTGCCGTTGAGTCATGTTCAACTCGTTCATATCGTCTGCATTCATAATCTTCAATGTTGGTACATCATCCCACCCTTCCTCCAACAGCTTTGGAAGAAGTCCCTGCAGCGATCCATTTCCAATAAAGTCCTCAATCGCGAAAGAAGCCATCTCCTTTCTCAAGCAGAGAAACAGAAAGACTTGGAAGAAAGACTTGTGTACATAATATATATGCAATCAATGAAAGGACACACTTAGTTTATATGTCCAAGTTTGAAATACATTCACTTCGACAATGTCTATGGCTGTAGTTAACTCCTGTCCCAATGTAACATGCTGTCTTATAGTGTCATACTGATTGATGAACTACTTCACTCATAAGATCTTTCCAATTGCTATGATAAAAGAATTTATCTTTTTGTTGAAGGATTCTACATAGATATCAAGTTTTGTAGCAGATATCTCTCTCTCTCTCTCTCTCTCTCTCTCTCTCTCTCTCTCTCTCTCTCCTCTCTCTCTCTCTAAAAATCAAGACGGCCATTCATTCGACATGGAATATTTTCCAAAAATTAAGATAATGGAATGCTTCGTGCACAGGGCTGATACTTACATCAGAGTAGGCTGCTTACATCACACTCTCTTGGGATTTGGCCCTTCCCCAAACTCTACGTAAACGCAGGATGCTTCGTACAATGGTTGTCCTCTTAAGATAACGGGTTCCGTCATGACCTTAGAAGGATGAAATAAAGGCTGAAAAATGGGAATATTGACAAATGGAAAAAGATAACTTTGCTCTGAAATCTTCTTTAGTTTAATCAGAGAGGGGCAAATTGAATATTTAAAGCTATTAAAAAACAAGATTTAAAGCTTTGTTGGCAATTATGTCACAACTGCCGGCCAAACATATTTGCCAAAGTTGAGCCAGTTGTGCTCTTTAATTTGGCCAGACAAGTTCACAATCGACAGTTCATCATTTAGGATGTTCAAGAAAAATCGAAACAGAAATTCAAGTTAAAAAACCAACTCGTCGTGAAAATTTTTTGACATGTTTTAAAAGACAAAAAAAATTATCCACTAAGATTGTAAGATTTTTTGGTTTGTTTATTGGATGTTAATTATATCCACTAAGAGTGTAACGATCTTTTACACGTTCATTAAATTTTACTAGATTATCAATTAATAATTATCTAATAGCTGACATGATTTTGTAATTATTTTTACACCGTGTAGAATTTAAACTATGTTTTTTAAGTTGATATTGTATATTTGGTTTCTTTTTCCATTAAGTATGGAACCAAAAACACTCTTAATTGTCATACGATATTGACCAAAGTTCGTTCTGAACTAAAAGTAAAATGAACAAAAAGTGATGTGAAACAATTTTTTACAAAATGGTACTACAGATTTTATGTGGTAAAACTGGCAGTATTGGCAAAATATGGCATTTTGTTCAAATGCATCAAGATTTTCTCAGCCATTTGTCTAGTACAAATATCTCCATGTTGAAATGCACTGACTACAGTAGCAGGAAACAACCTGTCCTGTGATATATCTGAAGCAGATTTGTCCCCACCTTTTGAAAGAAACTTCTCAATCAACCAAAATGATTTGTGCCACAAAACATCTTCTCTATGCTCCTTCACCACATTCAGCACATGCTGAATGGTTTGCATCTCAATCAGTAAGTTAACACTCTTGTCCATATCAACTTTATCGTCTAGTAACGTCGATATAGCTGATAATGCTGCTTCAACTACTTCCACATTTTCATGGTGCAAGCAAGATAGTAGCCTTTCAATTGCTTTAGCATCAATTAAGCAGAAACTGTCTTCAGCAGAACAAACACCGCGGTGAACTGGGCATAAAGGTACTTTCTGAGTCTTTGAATGAAGAGACATACATCTTCTTAGCAGAAAAGATTTTATGTACTTGTTGTTCTTGATTGGTGGTGGTTTTGATAAATTGACTGATTGCTTTGATAAGTTCCCTAGACCAATTGCTGATAACTTCTTGACCTCATCGCTTGATGTTTTCACGAGTAACTCTGTGAATATGTACGTGAAGTTGAACGTTCTTACTACGTGCAAAATTTGATGATCGTACAGTATTGTTGTCAATCTGACAAGAATTCCTACTAGACCATCAAAATATGCACTTGTGTACCTGCTTGTTCTTGTTCCGCTTACATGGATTTTGTTGATTTGTTCAATGATTGCAGGAATTGTATTTTTATTGACCAATGCTAGATTGAGTGTCATGTTTTGATGGGGAAGCTTTGCTAAAAGAGTGGCGGAGACCGCTTGCTTTTCTGTGACTCGAGGACTTCCAGGTGGAGCATGAATTAGGCTCTCGGGTTGTCCTTTGGTTTTGCATAATCTGTCTGAAATTGTATGCCCCATGAAAGGAGAGAAAGCGATAAGAAGCTTCAGCGCAACAATGCTGAGTTCTTCATTGGGGTTATTTATGAGCTCAATCAGATTGTAGCTCGCATCTGTCTCTTTGATCACAGAAATAATGGTAGATGATGCTTTGGGATACTTCATCAAGCATATTAGGATTCTGACAAGGTGGAAATTCATTTCTTCAGGAGTCGAGTTTTTTATCCTCTGAATGAAGTTGAATATCATGTAGTCCGAAGCCAATGTGTGGCCACGCCCATTAACTTGAAGATTCTCTAGCTCTAATCCAGACTCGAGCACATTTGCAAGTATACCAGCTGCTTCTTTCTTCGAGTTGATTTGCTCATCGTGAATTGCTTGAGTGAAAATCTCTTCAACCATGATTTGGACAAGGCCAGATTCTACAAGTGTGTTAGCATTTGAATGGTGAGAAGAAATTTGTTGTAGAGCTCCAAATGCTGCATTCCTGCTCAAGGAATTTCCACTCTCTACCATTTTGATCAAAGAAGGAGAAGCTTTCTCAGCAACGTAGGTTATGCTGTCAAGTCCAAGCACTATTTCCCCGAGGTATCGTGCCATCTCCATTTTCATCTCTTCACTGCCTATATCAAGTTTTTGGTAGTAGAAGTAACAGTCAGTTCCTTGAATTCAGAATTGACATAAAAAAACTTAATTTGGTCTCTACCTTTTGATACCTGCATATGTTGTCTCTATCAAAACAGAAAAGAGTACATGTTTACCTTCAATAAGATGATATAAAAGTGGCTCTAGATATCCATTTTCAGCCATGTGTTTGATGTTGCACGGATATTTCTCCAAGCTTTTCAAGACTTCATCAGCTTTATCTGCGACAAATGCATCATCGGAATGTCTGTATTTGGCTGTTATCAGCATGAGGATGGCTCCGGGAACTTCCCCAATATTATCACACAGAAACTGGGATTTCGAAACCTCAAGCAAAAGGCTAAGTGATGCATGCCTAATGGGTCTGTGATTACTCGACAGCATCCTTGTGACTGTAGAAATATCGATAATTTGGGCAATTAATTCCTGCATTTGTGAAGCATCTCAACTCAGTACATGTCTACAAGATACTCTAATTATGTACTTCTTGTTGTATATATACATGAAAAGTAGTGTTAAAAGCAAATGTTGAGTAATGAAAGAAAATATGAAATGTTAGTAGTAGTTGTGTGCCTACTTAAACTAAACTTTCAAGGATAGAAAAAAATGACCTATACCTCATCATCATCTTCAGCCAAATGTCGCAACAATTCCAGTGTTGCACATCTTATGCTTCTGCTTCTGTTGTCCAGTAAATTTCCAAGCAGTGGTATTATACCAATGCTAAGAACTTGTACCTTATTGTATGGCTTTCTGAGGCAGATGATTTGCAAATCTTCGATTGCTTTGAGTATTATATCCTGTGTACTACTGGCTGAAGACAAAGCTGCTCTTGCAGCTTTGATCCTTGCTGTTTCATTTCTTTCTTTCCATTCATCTATCGTTGCTTTCAATGCCACATTAGTGCTCAGATTTCTACTCTTTAGCTTCTGGCCTGACTTTGGACAGGATATTTCTTCGTGGTTATCAAACTTGTTGATCCATTCTGAAATGGCTTCCTTCTCATATGTTACTCCACTTTCTATTGTGACTGGATCCTCCATAATCTTCTTTGTCAATGGACAAAAGAATGTTTCATATAGAGGTTCCATGTACTCAGATTCAGAACGAGCGCTACAGTTCCCATGATTCTGAAGATGTAAGCTTCTGCTGATACTGCTTCTGGAATTGTCACTTATATAAATATTGGTTGAATCAGCTAACCGAATGTTTTCCATGGAAACATCAATATTGATAGAGTAAAGATCTGTTTCTGTGTCTCTTTCTGCTGTTTCATTTGTCAAAAATTCCCTTGAAGTGAACATGTGAACTTCAAGCTCTTTTTGGTCTGAAACCAGAATTTTTCTGGCTACAAATGCTGCACTTTTCATATCTTTCGAGAGAGACTTAGCTGCGATTTCTGCACATTCTTGTTCCCCATAAAAAGAGGATGGTATGAGACTTAATCCTTCCGCGACATGTCTGTTCACAACGTGAAGTTGTTCTATGACAATACTTGGTTCAATTAACTGATTCTTCTGCCTATAGTTTTGGCCTTTTTTTATAAGCTCATTAGCAAGATGCACACTTCCTAACATAGACTGTAATTTGTCTATCACATTTGATGTTGTATTTGTTCCTATTTGCAACTCCATTATGAGTGCAGAAGCGCGGTATAAGTAGCTTCCTATCTCAATGAAATTCTCTTTTTCTACATCTATTGAAACCACTGATTTTGTAAACTCTGAAATATTTTCCAATAAAGATTCAGCAAGTATGCCAACTCTATCCCTTTCTCCATTGATCTGAAGAAGAAAATGTGACATTGTTTCAGCTATGATCAAGCTAAAATCCGAGCTTAGAGAATTTAACCACACCCTTTTTATAAGTTATAACTAAAGAATTTATTGGAAGGGAGCCTTGGCGTAACTGGTAAAGTTGCTGCCATGTGACCAGGAGATCACGGGTTCGAGCCGTGGAAACAGCCTCTTGTAGAAATGTATTGGCCCCTTTGTTTCGGGGTACCGCCGTTGTCATGGAGCATGGGAAGGACGCGCGGCGATTACGATAAAAACCAATATGAATATTATAAAGACAATAAAAAAAATTGTTACGTTTCCGCCTCAAAGTGAAATGGTAAGGCTGCATACAATAGACCCTTGTGGTTCGGCCCTTCCCCGGACCCCGCGCATAGAGGGAGCTTAGTGCACCGGACTGCCTTTTTTAATAAAGATTTTCTTGGAGTCATTTGAAAAAAATTCTCACAGAAAACTTCTAAGCTTGATGTTGGATGAGAACTAAACAATTTGTTATCAGTGTAATGGACTCCACTATTATAATATACTTAATTTAGAACCTCTTACTACTATGCATTCAATCAAACATAAGCAAAAACATCTAAAGGAATTTTGTTTGAATGTGGAAAATTTGCAGGAAAAAAGAGAGAACTTACCTGAATGAAATCAGAATCTGTACTGCCAGAAATGGCCATCAAGAAGAAGATTTCAGTGTTTTGCAAGTTCTGAAAAACTCTAACAGTATGGTAATTCTCCAAATCAAGAAGAAGACAATTTAAGGGATGACTTTGAATCAGTCACTTCTAAATCTCCTTGGTACATTTATTCATTTCACTGAGGGTAAATTTGACTTTCCTGTGAAAAACTACTGCATACTAAAATCTTCTGATGTCAATTTGAGGTTTCTTAGCTTATGTTGTTAGTCTGATGAAGCAATCAATAGTCAAAGACTTGGACTCAGTCAGCTTTGCTAAGACAAGATATTATTAACTTTTCCATAGGTTTTAGTTTATTTTATTTTGATATTTGACTATAGTATTTGAGCAAGTAGGATCATCAACTTGATCTCAGCACCTGAATTTTGTAGCTGTGATGCTCATGACGGAGGCGGGCTATTGAGGGGGTCAAGCAGGACTAGCAGGCTTCTAGGCTGGCAAGCTTCTGAAGAAGAGGTACAGATGTCAACTTGGGCGAATCGCACATCGGAATGGTGAGGAAAGTGAAGAGCTTTATAAAGCATGACATAAGTTCACATGGTACGTGCTTTTTGGGGCTCGATATGGCGTAGTCCGAAAGATAAATCCGTGCGGCCTAGGCCCAAAATGAAGAACACGTGCCATGGGCTTGGGTCATGACAAATATGGTATCATAGTGAATCTCCCTAGGCGAATCTCACATCAGAATGGGAGAGTAAAGTGAAGAGCTTTATAAGGCATAACACAAGTTCATCAAAATGGGAGAGTAAAGCGAAGGGCTTTATAAGGCATAACACAAGTTCACAAGGTACGTGCGCTTTTGGGACTCGATATGGCATAGCTCGATAAATAAATCCGTGGGGGCTTAGGCCTAAAACGAACAATACGTACCATGGGCTTGGATCGTGACAGTAGCGTAAGAAAAAAGGGGGAAAACAAGAAAAGACAAGAAGAAGAAATTATTAATTGGACTTCATTTTCTGTGGAGTTGTCATGTATCTTATTGAGTGGGTAAAGAGTTGCATCGACTTTGATTAATTCAACTCATAAGATATAAATGATGTGCTATCAGTTTTATGCCTGTTGCCGTGTGTTATTATCTTATAATGGCTGCCACTTTTATTTAGTAGTTCAAAAAATTGTTGAGAATGAAATTTTATATATATTAATATCATCAATTTCTTCTCTTTTAACTTTATCCTCACTGACTTTATGTCTAGAAGGGGGTATATTAAATGTCGAGTTATAGTTGATTTAGAAGTTTGTGATGAATTTGCTCATTCAACTCTAGTTACTTCTTCTAACCTAAATCAGTAAACGACTTAACTTATATACGCTAACAATGTAAACAAGTTTTACATTATCATATTTGTATTGGTTATAGCATGTTATTTATTGTATTCCTAAAGTTACCAAATTATAATTATAACACACAATTACCCACTGCCCTTTTTTTTTTTACTATCAGTGTGCATAAGTTAAACTCATCAGTAAATTGCACTAGTCAATGACTTGCCTTATTTTATCTTACTATTTTGTGGTTCATGTAAAAATTATCATGATTCGTGCAGGAGAATAAATTTCTTTTTCTTTGAACAAAAAGGTGGCTAGAATGCAAAATCCAGGAAATTGTTACAGTTAATGAGTCTTTTTTTTTTGGTTGGGAAACAAGTATATCTGTTTTCATATATAAGAGCATAAAAGCCTACCACATATCACAAATTATGGGCTCAACTTTCATTAATCAAGGATAGTTGGCTTGTCCTTGACTATTACAACTTGAACCATAGTGTTACAAACAAGAATTTCAATTTGCTATTCAGTTGATACGAAACAAGTAACTGTTAAATTTCTCTTTTGCGCATACTATGCTCTTCACCTAATATTAGTTTTCACCCTCTTCGTCTCAACTTCGATGGCCTCCTCTTTCCACTGGCAGGGCCTCTACTTTCAAATAATTGTCGTTTCATGTTGTCATCGCATAGCTACAAATCTAGTCAATGTAGTTGTTTTGGCTGTGTTGGCAAGTTTGGTGGCCATTCCACAAAGTTTATCTTTCTATCGATTTTTTAAAAGACGGGGCAGCAAAAATATTAAAAATATTGATTGAAAATGTCTCTCAATAATTTTATAAAATATAATAAGGCTTTAAATAGCCAACTTAAAAACAGAATCTGCAGAAAATGTGCAAAATAAATATTCAAATTCAAAAACCTAAACTATCTCAACTAACTTATCCACTTAAATTAAATTTAACAAGGACTCCTCCCACGACTAAACTACTTTTTATTGTAGCAAATCAAATATCAGCAGTAACAAATGCAAAATCCAACACTTTCTTTGCTTTTCTCTGGAAATAGCCTGCAACTATCTTCGCTAAGAATCACTTGGTTTGGTAGTTAAATCTTGTAGGTAAAATTATAGATACCTTACAAGCTTGAGGCTTCCTCTTGTGTGAACTACTAGTGTTCTAGTCTTGTTCTTTTTTCTTATTACAAGATGCGAGAAGTGAGACTGAGATGGTTCGCGCATGTGCATAGGAGTAAGGAGGTGCAAGCGGTTGGCTTTGCTAGGTATGACAAGAAGTAGAGGGAGGCCTAAAAAGTAATAGGGAGAGGTGACCAGACAATACATAGCGCGGTTGCAGCTTACCGAGGACATGGCCCTTGAAAGGAGGGTGTGGAGGTCTAAATTAGAGTAGAAAGTTAGTAGGTAGTTGATCGTTCTGTTCTATACCGAGGGTATTAGGGTTAGTATGGTAGTTTTATCTTAGATTGCTAGTATTTCAAGATGTTTTCTATTATCTTCCGCTTCGGTCTCTTAGTATCTTCTTCTTGTTACTGCTTGTTGCTGCTACCGCTTCTTTCCATCTATTTTTCTAGTTTTGAGATTGTTGTTATTATCTTTCTGGCCCTATTTGTTGATATTACTTATTTCTGCTGTTCCATTTTATCTTTTTTGAGCCGAGGGTCTAGGTAAGGCATGTGTATACACTACCCTCCCCAGACACCATTTGTGGGATTCCACTGGGTTGTTAATGTTGTTGTAGTAGAATATGGACTATCACTGAATTGGGGGAGAGGGGAAAGAAAAGAGTAGATCTTTGCTTGGCAGAAAATGTAATTGTAAGCACAATGAACAAGAGAACATATCTCCTTTCTATTAAAACATGAGAACTGTGTTCTTATTACAACAAAGCTCAGGACAAATATCAGAGGTATAAAAAAATGAGGTGACATTCCACCATAAAAGATATATACAACCTGCTATGTAAATGGTACAAAAGCAAGTAATAATCAAATTTTATTGAGGAAAAAGGGAAGAAACTATCTTACTGTTCTACTCAGCACTCTGTAGAGTCATCTAGGTCAGTCTTCATTAGTTTGTTTTTCCAGTATTATTGAAGGGAGTTGATGCATTTCCATCACAGTCATGTTGGTTCCTTGCTCTATGTACAAATGCGGGAGGCTTTTTCACTTTAGTTTACACCTCTAGATGCTTGTACACAAATAATATTTCATCGAAACCAGTTGCCGACTGCTTTCACCCGGTGCAACTTTTTGTAGAGCAGCTTATATGTCCCAATAGCATATAGGCATAGCAACCCAACTCATACCCAGATATCCTTAGCTTGTCTAGCATGAATGGTCAATACCGCCTTCTGCGGTAGCATATGGCATGGTCATCTAGGCTGAGCAGCCAATGTGTCAGTACAGGCTCGTGTTCCCTCACTTGCAGCGCAATGGATCCAAGCGTTTGAAGTTCCCATGAGTTTCGTCATTATAAGGGACAGAGCTAAGACCGCACGACTAGTTGAAAAAGTAGGGAGATTCCAAAACTTCTCTTAAATCGAAATCACCCCGCTCCGGTAAGGGAGGAAATTGCAAGTCAGGGAATGACTGCTGAAAACTCTCGAGTAACTGTTAACAATCAGCAGTGGTGTTAATAATTTGTAACACAATAAACTTAGCAGTCTTGACTTGAAGAAAACATAAGCAAAACCCAATGCAAATTTGATGAGGATAAGAGAAGCTACAAGCAGATACAGTAAGTTAAAATTTCTTTGTTTGAGAATCATGAATGTCTTGAAGGGATTATCTTTGTCCCCATAAAACTTACATTTTCCAATATGGGTGCGTCGTAAAGTTCAACAAATTTCTCTCTCAAGATTTTGTTCATTTGATCAACATCACAGGCATGTGTCCAATATGAATCATGCACCCCTGCCACCAAAATCAGGTAAAAAGCATTAGCATGTCTGGTCAGATGCTTATTCACACAGACGCTTGACATTTCATGTGACTGGAAGGAAAATAGGCAGCACTACAGACCTGCAAAACTTAAGCCAGATTCTTTGCAGGCAATGGCAGTCATCATCATGTGGGAGCCATCGAGAGAGTGAACGAAATTTGGAGGGAATGCTGTTCTCTGTCGCTTAACCATTACCTGTAATTTATGATAAAGAGCATGAATAACCGATAACACCACTTGAAACATACAACTTATTGTCCAAGATATTCAATTCACAGTACAATGATCCAACATCTCCAATTATATTCACACTTTCGAACAGTGGTATTTTATGTGGACTCCGTCCATTTTTTAATTGGATACGTTTTTAAACTTTTACCTTCTCCAAGGGATAGTAGAAGGAGAAAGTTGCATAGAAGGATAATCAATGTGCTATGAACCCGGAATAGCTTCACTAGAATCCAAATTATTGCATCCGGAAAAGCATTATCAATGAAGAAAAAGCAAAAAGGGAAAAGACATGTTAATGGATGCAGAGGCAACCTTATCTGTTTCACGCTGTAATGTCAAAATCTGAAGGGAAGTTTTAATCTGCATAGAGTTCAGTGACAAATAGTTAGTGACATTCAAATATGAAGTTTTTGTCAGAGACTAGACTGTTCTGAAATTTCATGCAATTTAAGGTTGAATGCATCAGAACATTACAAGATGCCTTCCTAATTTGCGGTAAGGTTGCACAACAGGAAGTCCAAGTGGAGTAGTCCATCGTACAGGATGGTTTTCCATGGCAATAATCTGGCGAATGAAGTTTTAACCATTAGTAAAAAAGCAAATTATCCAACATAAAAACTTCAAATCCATCCAAAGGAAAAATTCAGAAGCAACATATTCAGGTGATACTGGTGTCAAAGAGTAAAACAGACATGTTATCAGAGCCAGTCGAAGTTAACTGAATTCTACTGAAGAAAGGGGATTTGACTGAACTCATGATGCAGCTTTTTAAAATGTTTGTACTAGTCTGACATTTCTTTCATTCTTTTACCTTCAAAATCTTCCCCATCTGAAGAGGGTTTTCCTCCCTAGAGTTAAAACTTAAAACAGGAACAACAAAGTACTTTCAAATTCATTGACCCAACACCTTTTGTTGCGCGGACTCTCGAAAATGTTGCCGCACCCGTGTCGGATCCTCCAAAAATGTACTATATTGGACGAACCAACACACACCGGCGAAATTTTTCGGAAAGTCCGAGCAACATAGACTAACACCACATTGAGTATAAGAGGGTAACATAATACAAATTTTTTGGTTATATACAATTTTAGCCTATGCTACTGCTTTTCACATCCAGTAGATAAGAGAACTAGCAGAAGCATCAGATAATTTTTCAATTCCCTTTTATTTATTCCTAAAGATCAGCTTCTGTACTAATATCATAAGAAGGAAGTCACTGAACTAGGATCAGAGGATAGGCTAGAGAGCCAATAAACAAACAAACCACTGACACAAATTATGTATCATACATCAAACTTAAAATTCTGAACAGGTTAACTACTCCAATTTTAGTTTAAAATATAATCAATGTACTAACTACTCAATGTGACAATTGGAATAAAAGCAAACCTTTGCACAATCTCCAAGCCAACTCATGATACTTCTAGCAGCTTCAAACATCTCTCCTAAGGCAGTCAAGGTGGTCTGACCATGTGACAAAAGATAATTAGACCAAGTATCAAAGCAGATGCAGAACAGCATTGGAAGGTCATATTGCAGTAACATTGACGCTAAATAGACATCAGAAAGTATAGACACGTAATTGAACAGCAATCGCATGGACCTCCAAATGTAGTTCACACATGTTGCAAACTACTCACTCC